GCAGGCACTCAGGCCATGGGAGGCTGGTAAGTATTTTAAGCAAGGACTGTTGCGAGGGAGTCATGTGACCAGAAATACATTTTGAAGAGATCACACTGGCTGAAGTATAAAAGAATAAAAGAACAAGGGCATATGAGGAAAGATAAATTGGGACATTACTCCCCCAGTTCTGCTGACAGTTGATAGTAGTTCTAACTAAAGTGATAATGGTGATATTGAGAGGAAAAACAGAGGGTGTCAAGGAAGACTCAGTGATTTCTGACTATAGAACTAGATAGATGTGGTTCCACTCACTGGAGAACAGAGCCAAAAAGAAGTCCATATCTGAAGGAGGAAATGATGAGTGTATTTTAGGGTACATTCAGTTTGAGTGAACTGAGATGGTTGTCTTATGGACATGTGGATTTGGATATCATGGATGGTGTCTGGTAGTCAGACAAATTCAGACATTTGATTAGATGAGCTTAGAAGCTATTAGCACATGGTTGATCACACTGGTATATATGGAAGCAGACTGAAGAGAGAAGAGGGTCATGGACAGAGCCTGAAGGAGCTCCAGTAACAATGGCTGGATGAAGGAGGCTGACACTGCAGAGGCGGCAGAGCAAGTGGCGCAGGGAGAGCCATACAGTGGGTGCAGAGAGGCCTAGGAGGAGAGTGCTCCAGCAAGGTTACCAGTGTGCAAGGAGAGAATAACCCCTTCTTACCTTGTGACATCAAGCCTCTCCTTCCTATCGTTTTAACAATTCATATCTCATGACAAACAGCAGGGCCAGTATCAATGACTTTTGTTTCCTATCCTGGCCTAGGGGGTTCATTTTACCTTTTCTGTATAAGCTTTTGGTATCCTAGGACAAACAGTGTCATTTTCTCAAAAGTTTCTAATTGATTCAAGCTTTACAGGTGATCCTGGGATCAAAGAAATCACTTGGGTGGCATGTGCAATATGAAAAGAGCAAATGAAAACCTAATTAAATACATTTTCCATGTCAATTAGGAGACATGTGAATGCCAGACATTCTAAATTAAAAGGGAGGGTATTTATCATCTGGCACTACTGTTTAACAGATGTAGAAAGAAATACAAGATCCTAAAATAACATGCATCTTGGAGAACAAAGTCAACAAAAAATTAAACAAAGATTCCCACCAAGGTTCCTGTAGCAAGCAGATCTTTAATTTATCATGCATGTATCCATGCAATGCCCTTTTTTTTGTAATGACTGAATTATGACTGAAAGAAAAAAGTTCACAGTATACTTTAAGAAAAAGAATTTCATTGAAAGGAACCTCTAAAATATCCATCTGTGGGATCACAAATTTTCTTCAAGTAAAAACAAAAACAGTAACTGGTTCCTTTTTCCAAATTAATAAAAAAGGAGGAAAAATTATAGTTTTATTACTACAATATGTTACTATTAATAAAAATTTAAATAAACTTCATTCAAGTTAACCAGGTTATCGCTTTCACATTCGTATAAAAAAAGAAAGTTACCCTGGTTTAAGATAAACGAGTCTTATTTTAATCAAGATGTTGTTGTTATTAAGTGCCACTGTGTTGGTTCCAACTCACAGTTACTCTATACAGGGTTTCTAAGAAGCGGTTGATGGGTTTGAACCACAGACCTTGTAGTCCAGTGCTTACCTACAGTACCACACAAGAACTCTTCAATTAAGACTGAAGACTGAATGTAAAATCTCTATCCATGACTATTCACAAAAATTAAAAGAAAAACAAACAGATGAAGCTGACAACCATAAATGCGCTCTTTATTGTGGGGAATCATCAAGTCTGTGGAGGTCCTGAAGCCAGCTTACTCAGGCTCACAAAACAGGCTTTCTATTATTGTCAGCAGATATAAAAATACCAGAAGAAGCATTATGAAAGAGACAAGAGGCCAAAAATTTTGTTCTCAGATATTAAGATTGTTGTTGTTTTTAAGTGCTGTCCAGTTATTCCAATTCATAGCAACCCTGTAAGTTTTTTGAAGTTGTAAATCTTTGTGGGAGCAGAAATCCTTATCTTTCTCTTGTAGAGTGCCTAGTGGGCTTGAACTGCCGATTTTGTGGTTCACAGTCCAGTACTTATTGTACAGAGCCACTGTGCTCTCCCAGTACAGATTTGCTGAGATGTCAACTAACTAGACAGCCTGTTACGCATTTGTGGGTGCCTCAGTCTTGATAACGCTATATGTAGTAATTCTCCTATTGTCTGTAGACTTTAACTTATTTCTCGCTGCCACATCTATTTATAATGTTTGTTTTACTGTTATACTGTTCTATTACTTTTGACTAAGAGTTAAGACTTCCTTGTCTGTGAAGACTTTCCCAACTTTTTATCTTAATTCTGTGTTTCTTTCCCAATCAGGAGGCCCCCATTCAAAAATAAATTATTTTGTACACATAAGGCTAGTTCTGTCAGAATAAGTACTGGACTTCAAGGTCAGTTTGAGCCACAAGATCAACAGTTCAAACCACCAGCTGCCTCTCTGAAACCCTCTACAGGTTTGCAATGAGTTGGAACCAGTTTGACGACACTTTAACATCACCACCACTTTCATAACTGAAAAACAGTTTGTGGAAATGGTATCGATTAAAACAACACTGTTAGCAGGGACAAATAATTTCCCTTTGCTTAAAAAATATAACATTTAACCCTGTTTTGCATAAAGGGAGATATGTATGGCAAAAGTCAAGTTAATACCTCTGGCTGTGTGAGATCTCACAATAGGTGACCCACAGGGTTTTCATTGGCTGGCTATTGGACATATGGGCAGATTGCTAGGCCTCCCTTCCAACTCTGCCTTAGTCTGGAAGTTCTTCTGAAATCTGTTTGTCATGAGTAGCTGATATCTGAAATACTATTGGTATTTCAGATATGATGGCATAATACTGATGGCCTAGGAGCAGGCAGTGTTTCGTTCTGTTGTACACAGGGTAGCTAAGAGTAGGTACCAACTCAATGGCACCTAACAACAACAAGGACCAGGCAACACTTCATTCTGTTGTACATAAGGTTGTCCTGAGTTAGAGTTGACTTATGGAACTAACACAATGAGGGGCTTATCTAGGAGATTATTTACTAATTGGAGAGAATAAGAGTCTCCAAAACATAGATTTGTGATGGGGATTAAATTAAGATATTTAAGATACCTAGTAAAATGCCTACCATAGAGCAAGTGTTTGACTAGTGTCAACTCCTACTATCTATTATCAGAAAGAAGGGCTAAACATTAACTATGACAAAACAAAATCATTGCTGTTGGCAGATCGCCTTCAAAGAGCAGACAATTTGCTGAGTTACTTAATAATCTTCAGCTAGTTCAGTCAAGAAGGCACATCAAGAGGCAGTGACGCTGAAAGCTGTGTACTGTGAGGTTGCATGGATGGAGCTTTTTAAAAGTCTTCTAATAGATGGTGTTATGGGCTGTATTCCCCCAAAGGTGTTGCAGTCCTAACCCCTGATGTTCACAACTGTAAATGTGACTTTATCTAGAAATAGTGGCTTTGTAGATGCAATTAGTTAACAAGAGGTCATACTGAGTAACCTTAATCCAATATGACTATTGCCCTTATAAAAGAAGAAAAGAGAGACAGATACAAAAAGGGAAATGACCAAGTGAAAACAGATGCAGAAATTCGAGTTATGCTGCCACAGCCAAGGAATGTCTGGGACCACCAGAAACTAGAAGAGACAAGGAAAAATTTTCACTTAAGAGTCTTTAGGAAGATGATGGCTTGACTTACAACCTGAATTTGGATTTCTAGCCTTTAGAACTATGAGAGAATACATATCTGCTGTTTAAAGTCATCCAACTTCTTGTTGTTGTGGTTGTCAAGTGCCATCAAGTCAGTTCTGAGTCCCAGCAACCCTGTATAGGGTTTCCAAGGAGTGGCTGGTGAGCTTGAACCACAGGCCTTGTGGTTCAAATCAACCTTGCAGTCCAGTGCATTAATGCACAGAGCTACATCAGGACTCCATTCAACTTGTGGTATTTTGTTAAAGTAGCACTAGAAAACTAGTGCAGATTTTGTTTTTGTTGTTTTAAGCTGCCCACTTTTGGTATTGGCAGGCCTAGGAAAATAGTACAGATGACATTTATTCTGTACATTTTTGGGTCCAAACCATTTCTGCCACATATGAGGATTTCTGTGTGGTTACAGCCAAGAAAATCTTACGCAACAGTTCTACTTGGAGTCACCCTGAATCATTATTGATGGCAACAAGTTTCTGGTTATCCACTAAGATTTTGGTGGGAGATGGATACTCTCTCTAGGTCATTCACCACACAAAAGATTCACCCTACAAAAGATCAGGCTGTGAAATGAAACTAATGGCAGATAACAAAGAAGTCCTGGTGGTGTAATTCAGTACTTAATTGTAAATGAAAAGGTTGGTGGTTCAGACTTTCCCAGTGGCTCCACAGGAAAAAGCAGACTTGATGATCTGCTTCTATACAGATTGCTGTTGTTTTTAAGTGCCACTGAGTTTTTCCTACCCATAGGTATCCTATATAGGTTTTCTGAGGAGCGGCTGGTGAGTTCAAACCACCAACCTTGCAGTTCAAAAACCTCGTGGTGGAGTGCTTGCTCCACAGGACAACACCAGAACTCCCCTGCAAAGATCACAGCTTAGAAAACTGTCTTTGGAAGTTCTACTGTTATCTAGGGCCACTATGAGTTGGAACTGGCTTGATGGCACACAATCAAAACAGGTTTTGAAAGTCCATGTGTTCACAATTAGGTAAACTAAAGGGAGTAAACAGATAGACTAACCTAAAGTATTCCTATCTGGCTTTTGAGTACATTCAAAACATATATTCCCACACATCCCTCCCTTCATATGTCTTGTCTTTAAGTTCTCTGTTTATAATTCTAGATAGAGACAATAAAAACTATCGACAATCCAGACTATGATCCTCTTGTGGTTAAGTGAGAGATCACTATATTCACAATCATATTTGTTTCTACATGTGAGGTCCTATTTCTTCTCAGTCTTACCTTAGAAAGACCATCTTGGCTGCCAGATGTGACACATAATTCCATTTGTCCTTGATTAGGTGGGTAACGGATAGTGGGAGGATTATGCAAATTTTCTTGTAACTGTCTTAGCCAGGTCAACAATTCTGGAATTCTAGAGCATAAAATATATTTTAAAATTTATTGTAGTCAAAGAACATACTAGCAGTAGACAGAAAATAAATGGTTGTTTTATACTAGGCTCTGCATAATTCAATTTAACCTTCCAATACTTTTCGCCAATATTAACATCTCTCTTTAAAATGTAAGACAACAGACTCAGGGAAATTAAGAAATTCACATAAAGTCATTCAGTCAGTGAGTGAATGAACTGGGTTTTGAATCTAGATCTTTCTTATACCAAAGTCTGTTCTTTCTTCTTTTACACTAAACATTCAGTGTAAAGTCAATTATCTGCTTTTTTTTTTTTTTTTTTTTTAAATGTTTTTATTTTGCATTGAGTGAAAGTTTACAGGGCACATCATCAGCTTCACATTCAACCATTCATATAGCTTGTTTCATTACATTGATTATTATCCCCGCTATATATCATCAGTTTACAGTGTTTCTCTCTATCCTCTTTAGCTTTTTTTTTTTTTTTTGGATGGGGGGGGACTTGGCTTATTGGAATTTACAGTCTCGGCTTTTAGGGGAGGAATTATCTGCTTTTTGATAGAGAGATTCTAAGAGCCTAGATAAGAAGTTCAGGTATATATAGAAAAGCCTTATATATACTTAATATGGAACTAATACATATGAGGAGACCTGGTATGGCGATACAGGATAATGCACCGGACAGCAAGGTTGGTTTGACCTGAAAGGTCAGTCGTTCAAACTCACCAGCTGCCCCTTGGAAACCCTATACAGGGTGGCTATGAGTTGGAACTGACTCGACGGCACTTAACAAAAACAATATATACAAGGGAGTACGGTGGCTCTGTGTAATAAGATATGAACTGCAAACCACAAGGCTGGTGGTTCAAGCCCACCACTACTCTGTGGGAGAAAGATACGTTTTTCTGCTTCTGCAAAGATGTACAGCTTCAAAAACCCTATACATGGTCACTATGAGTCAGAACCAACTTGACAGCACTGATAACATCAACAATATATATAAGGGTAAGTAAAAAGTATTGCTACAAATTCATAGAAACCTTTATTAGAAAAAAAAAAAAAAATCAAAATCTGATGCTCTTGTTTCTCAACATCCCCTCCATCTAGGTGTATAGACTTCTGAAAGCAGTGTTTCTAGAGCTGTGACCCATCCCTGAAGAATTGTGTGCTCCTTGATTTATACCACTTCAAAATAGCAGTTCTGGCATCGTGGTGGGATTCAAATTGTGTTCCTTGTCAATGTTCTGTGAGTTTTGGTAACAAAAAGAAGTCTGAATGGGCAAGATCAGAGCTGTAGGATGGATGAGGTGGTTTCCAAATGAAATTTTCCTAGGACAGCCCTTGAAGCATGAACAGGTACATTGTCGAAGTAGAAAAAACAAATTCTCGGTACAGCTTTCATAGTCTTTTTTATTCTCAACAAAGCAGTTTTCAATTTTCTTAAAAGTTTTTCATAATAAGCCACAGTGATCATTCTGTGTTCTTTAAGAAAATATATCAAGATTATCCTTTTGATATTCAGAAACACTGTCACCATAACCTTCTGAGCTGACCTATCTGCCTTAAATTTAACTAGCCTAACAATTTCCTTCGGGAGCCACTATTTTGATTGGATTTTTAATTTGAAGGTACTCTAATGCAGCCACCCACTCACTGATAGAAAAGGTATTTAAACATATTTTGTTTGTAAAAAAACCCTGTGTATGTATAAACTGGAAATCAATAGCAATATTTTTGACTTTGTATGTGTGTGTGGGCTTCAAAACATACATGGGAAAGCCCCATTATTTTTTAGTTCCACTTTTCAATGAAAGTTTTGAATCCCCCATATATATATATGTTGTTGTTGTTAAGTGCCGTCGAGTTGGTTCTGACCCATAACGACCCTGTATAGGGTTTTTGAGAAGTAGCTGGTGAGCTTGAACCGCTGATCTTGCAGTTCAAACAGCTTTGCAGTCTGGCACATTAACCCACAGTGCCACACCAAGACTCCATATATACATACACACACACACACACATACACACACACATATATGCTGTTGTTAAGTGCCGTTGAGTCAGTTCCGACCCATAGAGACCCTATACAGGTTTCCGAGGCTGTAAATCTTTACGGGAGTAGAAAGCCTCATCTTTCTTTTGCGGAGCGTCTGGGAGTTTTGAACTGCTTACTTTGAGGTTCACAGCCCGATTCGTAACCACTACATTACCAGAGCTCTCTCTATATACAATTACATATATGGTATTTCAATATATTTCTCAATCACAGAACACAGGCTTTAACAAAATATAATTTATAGACACTCCATAAAATACCTTTTATCATTAGGAGAATGACATTTTAACCTTTATGGTCAATGGATTCACACAGCTGACTTTTTAAAAAGGGTACAAAATAAGACTTAAAATTGCTGCTATTACTTCTTGGTCCATCCTTATCTTCTTTTGTCCCAACATGTTTCTTCATGTTTTTTAAGACTTCTAATTTTTTAAGACTCAGTTTCCAAGGAGTGTGTTAAAGATCATTCAATATCCCTGTTGCTTCTTTACTCTTTGAAAGCTCTTTCCAAAACCTAACTATTGAACATTCAGTTAAAATTCACAAATCACTTTATCAGTGAGCCTTAGAATACTGCTTATGAAAATGATCCAACATTATATCATCTATTGATAATTACCCAGCACTTTGAGAATACTGAAGAGCTCTCTTCATTGTCTCTTCTCCAAAATGGATGGCATTCCCATTTTCTATTGTGATACTAGCTGTCTTAAAAGGGAATGTGTTTGGATTTGGTGATCCGGGAGCCAAGGAGATGAGCGATGGTGGTGCCCTGGTCACTATTTCAGCTACAATAAACATGGGAGAGAAGAAATATTTTCATTGAAGACAGTTACAAAAATGGTTCAGTCAGCATTGTGGTCAATAAAACAAAGTTAACAGTGCATCATGACAGAATCCTGGTCTAACATAAATATTTAGCATGCACTTAACATCAATAAACTTTACTGGTAGCGATACTAAGGAATAAAGATGACAAACAGAAAGGCAGAGAGATCAGGAAGATAAGCAAAGGACCACAATAATAGAAGGACCTCCTCTATTTGATATTAACCTCTTCAGTTTGTCAAGTTCCTTACCTCATTATCTCTCATTTATCAAGTCCTGTCCACTAATTCATACTCATCTTCCCCCAAACAGTCTTTCCCAACAGCATGCACATTCCCCTCTAAAGATGTGTCCTACAGCAGGCTGCATGTCTCCATTACTGCTCCTAATACATTTCTCAGAAAACCTATACAGGGTTGCTATGAGTCGAACTGCCTTGACAGCACTTAACAATACACTTCCGGAATTCTGATGTGGTGCTGCAAAATAAACACTGGACTGCTAACTGCAAGGTGTGCGACTCAAACCCACTAGCCACTCCTAGGATACCGTATACAGGGTCACTGTGCGTGGGACCCACTCCACGGCACTTAACAACAAACAACAATACACTTCCAAGAGAAAATCCTGATTATTTCTCTCCCGTTCCAGCTTGAGTTCTCTGAGAATACGTGCTGTGCTTAATGCAATTCCGCACTCAGTCTGATCCCCACAGTGAGTTTTCAAATGAATGAAAGACACCAAGAGGTGACAGTAGCTACCTTTCTCAGAGGCGCTGCGAGAGCACCCCCGACGCGGAAGAGGGGCGCCAATCCCACTACTTACTCAGGATTCGGATGGCAGAAGGCTCTCGGGCTGCGCTCGTGGCCGTAAGGAACCGTGCGTAATTCATGCCTCTGATAACTCTGAAATTCAAGTACCAAGTTCCTTCTTTAACTGCTGAGTACTCGAAAAGCCCGAGTCCACGCGAGCCCTGTCTCCGGCCCGGCGGCTGGTAGATGGGGTCCCCAAATCGACTGTGGATCCACTCTATTAAGGCGCGCGCTCCGATGCCGGGTCAGTCTCGCCGCGCCCCTCCCCGCCCCTTCCCACAGCCTATGGCCGCCCACTGTCTCCTCCCCTCTCCCGGGCCCTCCCGGGTCACCACCCTCGGCTTGTGGGCCGGACAAGGTGAGGGCTGGTAGCTACACGACAATCTGAAACAATTCAAAGCAAGTACAACTCTTGACCTGGCAATTGGGAGTAGCCAAAAGAAAGCGTCCGGGTTGGCCCTGAAGCTAGTCTCTGATTAACAAGCCCTTTATCTTAGAGGTAGTGGGCCGGAAGTCCCTTGTGATCCTTGGATACCATCTGGTGGCGGTTTGCGTGCATTGCAGCAGGCACCTTAAACAACGCAGCAGGATGCGCTCTCTGTTTATGCTAACTTATTTTACTTCCTCAGCGTTGATTCTCTTCAACAATAAACCTGTAGGCGCTCTCCTGGGAAATCACCAACCCAACCGACTGCTGTCCAGTCGACTCGGACCCACAGTGACCTTATAGTACAGGGTAAAACTGCCCCATGTGGTTCCCTTGGTTGTAAATCTTTACTGAAGCTACTAACACATCTTTCTCCCACTCAGTGGCCAGTGGATCCCACTATCATATTTTGGTTAGCAGCTGAGGACTTTAACCACTGCTTCACCAGGGCTCGTGGGAAATCATCCAAGGCCACTTAAATTAATTCCAATGTCACTTTCTCCAAGGAATGAGCAGTTTAGGGAGACGGTACGGTACTGATACAGATCTTTGTTGAAGAATCATTGTGAGAGTCTCCTCAAATTTTCATGGCTACCTTCCTTGTATATGACCTTTCATAAAGGAAAAATTGGGTTGAAAGTGTATATCCAACTCTTTTCTAGTGTCTCGCCCTCTTTTTCCTTTTTCATTACAGAATGACCCTCCGCTACACCTCCAACTTTTTCTGTCCCTTTTTCCTTCTTCTTGAATTATTAAAATGTAATGTATAATGTCCCATGTGAACACTTGATGTGAGATTTTGAGACCATTTGGACTTTCTTCTTAAGTGGGTATAAAAGAATCATTTATTTAAAACAAAGTCAGAATTCGCATGAAATCAGTAAACATTTACTGTATACTTCCTGGATGAGTAGTGACACATTACCAGATGACCCTTTTCTAAGAAAAGTAGATGGGTCAAGGAGACACTTATGTTCTAATCTAGATTGTTGTTGTTGTGTGCCGTGGAGTCGGTTCCGACTCATAGCCACCCTGCACAGGGTTTCTGAGGCTGTAAATCTTTACGGGAGCAGAAAGCCTCATCTTTCTCCTGCGGAACAGCTGGTAGTTTCGAACTGCTGACCTTGCGGTTTGCAGCCCAATTCTTAACCACTTTGCTACTTAGTGCCAATGAAATACGATAAAATTTATACCATCAGTTTAACAGTATATGTAAATGCCATTCATTTAGCTGCTAGAAACCTAGAAGCAATGTGGCTCCAGATTCAGACTGTAGTTAAGTGTTGTTGAGTCTGTTTCGACTCATAGCGACCCTGTATAGGGTTTCCAATGAGCAGCTGGTGGGTTTGAACTGCTGACCTTTCAGTTAGCAGTATTTATCTTACAGTGCCACATATGGCTCTGGATTCAGACTACTTGGGCTAAAATCTCATTTGGTGATTTACTAGCTGGGAGTCTTTGAATAAGTTACCTTACTGGGTAGCAATTTTCTCACAGAGTTAAAAGATGATCTATATTAAACTGATTAACACAGTGGCCCACATATTAGAAAAACTCACCACTCTCAAGTCTATTCCAACTCATAGCAACTCAGGCTTCTGAGACTATAAATCTTTATGCAAGCAGACAG